AATCCAATGAAAAAATGATTTAAAAAAAAAAAACTGAAAATTGTAAGCTTAGGGGGTCCGAGCTTGATACCTTGTTCCCAAAAAAATTAGCATAAGAACCAGATTTATCATCGGATTGAGTCTCAGATCTGTGTTAGAAGGCATGCACGGATGAGAAGACGACCCCGTGTGGCTGCAATCCTGGTCAATCACAGAATCACGGATCGCCACGCCGTCAAGGGGCCGGTTTCACCATGGCCAACGAAATGAAGAAATGTGTCCTCACAGACTCGTACGGCAACCGGGAAATCTGAAATGTTGCAGTAAAATCGAAACTTTTTTCTGCCCAGTCTCATAAATCTTTCGGCCAAGAGATGGATGGAGAAGAAGAAGAAGAAGAAGGAGAAGATGGATTATGATGATGATGAAATAAATAAATAAATAAAATACTCCGTAAATAAATATTGAAGGGCTGTTTTATGTTATTGGGAAATCATTGGCACGCAGAGAGAGAGAGAGAGAGGGACAACCACCCTTAGAAATTCCCAAATGGATCTCTGCGTCCTCAATCGCCTCCATAGCTTTTTAGGCAATGAAGAGCAGGCTTGAAGGAGATTTTATAAACCTGACTCCTCCCCAAACCATGTCTCCATGGTGTATTAAATTTATTTTATACTCCCTCCGTCCCAAATTATTTGCCACATTTGTTTTTTTAATAGTTGCGGGAATTTTTGTTTATTTCTACGTTTTCATTGGTTATTTGATAAAATAAAATATTCTTGACACCTCTTATTTCAAAGAACTTTTCATGTAGTTTTTTTATATGTAATTTTTATTTTTTATTTCTTTACCAATATGTAAATAAAATGAATTAAAAAAACTTAATATATTGACTCGGTGATAGAAATGTGAAAAATAATTTGGGACGGAAGTAGTAAGATATTATTTTATCTAGTTATTCTGTAACATACTATTCTCTCTATTTTAGAATTTTCTTTCTAATTACTATCATACACTCAAATTTCAATAATTTTTTAAACATATTTTCATCAATATTTTAATAAAACAATACTATAATTATGTCACTTTTTATACTCTACTAAAATCTCAAAGAAAGGAAGTGTATTTTAAAAATATTCTTCATGATTCATATTCTGTACAACTAAAACTAATTCATGCACAATGTCAATCATGAACATATATATTGTTAAAAAATATTGTAAACTATCAATATACAATGCAGACTACAATTTTGGTGATAAAAATATAAAAATTCTATGTTTTGTATGTTCTCTATGTTTCGCTTCTATTAAGAGTGATATCTTAATCATTAATTAATTTTATATATATACCTATAGATATATGTACTTAATCATTAATTAATTTTATATATATACCTATAGGTATGGCTCCTTGAGCATCTTGAGTTCGACTCTTCTTGTGGGTTCTTTTTTTGCTTTTTTCAAAATCTCCCCTAAAAGCTTTTTTTTTGTGCATTTTTTTCCTGATTTTCTACCTCTTTAAGAGACGGTTTTTTAAAACATAATTAAATGTGAATTGGATATATGGATTTATTGTTTGTGAAGTGTCTATTTTAACATTTATTTTTTCAATTTGTATATTGTGAATTAGATTTATATTTTGCAAGCATTCTTCTTTTGTTTTTTTCGGAATCTCTGTACTAAGGCTTCTTTAGTGTGTATTTTTTACTCTACCCCCGAACCAGCAGCCTTCGCGCCAAGCAAGACCGCCCTTGTCCCTCTTCGAGCAACTCCCGTTGGTCGTACCTCTTCGAATGTTTTGAACAATGGTTTTGATGACCAAACCCGAAGTTGACCGAACCCGAAATGACCCGCTAAAAATGGGTCAAACCCGACCGAACCCGAACCCGACCTGACCGACCCGCTAAAGTAAGAATTTTTCAAAATCATACACTTTACTACTCGTTTTTAGTGTAAAAATTTATATTTGCAGAGAAAATTTTAATGATATTGCATAATTATCTTACTTTTTTCCAAAACTTAAGCATTTTTAAATTCCTTATATTGATTTATATATCTAAAAAATTACTTCAGAGTTTAAAATAAATCAATTTTATAGATTTAATACATTTTTTTGATATTTAATAGAAAATGTAAGTGGTAATGTGAATTTAAAAATTTTAAAAATCAAAGTTATAACCCATTGGGTCGACCCGAACCCGACGATACTGGGTCATGAACATACAGTTCTCAACCAGAACCCGAATTGACCAAAACCCGAAATAACCCGAACTTGAAGTGACCGAACCCGAACCCGACCTGACCGACCGATTTGCCAGCTCTAATTGAATGGAAATTGGATATTTGAATTTGTTATTTGTGAATTGTGAATTTTTAAATTTATGCTTTTCAATTTGTAATTTTTGAATTACATTTACATTTTGAAAGATCGTGAATATGTTAAAATGATTGAGTTTTGTTGTAAATTTGTAATGCTCTTAATTATTTAAATTTCAATATAGGAAATAGAGGTATTAAATATTATAATAAATCACTTTCAAATATGAAAACTAGACTTTTAAATATGCATTTTATATTTTTAATGAAAGAGTATTATTAATTTGTGATTTTATGGCATATGTGAACTTTAATATTAAACTTCCACCATCCTTTACTGTCCTTCCCATTTAGACTTTAAGGAGAATTAGGGGCTGTTTGTTTCAGCCTCTTAATGGTTCAGATGTCTGAATGGTTCAACACTTAATGATTCAGACTGTTTGTTTCAGCCTCTTAATGGTTCAGATATCTGAATGGTTAAGAGATTTGCCTCTGAATGGTTAAGTATTATACAGAGTCTGAATGGTTAAGACCTCTTATCTGAATTGATCAGACATTTGCCTCTGAAAAGTTAAGCAATATACTAGCTCTTAATGGTTCAGACCTCTTACTGGTTCAGCACTTAATGGTTCAAACCTCTTACTGGTTCAGCACTTACCTATTCAGAAGTTGCCAAACAGCCCCTTAACGACTAGATATCTTTGTCTTAACTTTTCAAAAATATTCTTAATATGATGACTAAAAATAGATTATGAGAGGTAGATTTTTGGTAAAAATGTATGTTGTGATAAGTAGGATAAGAATTAATATGGATAAAAATAGTTTTTTAAATAGAAATGGAAAGTATTTTGTAGGACAAAGAAAAGAAGAAAGGATAAAGAGTTTGTGGGATGAAGAGATCGAGTATACTATGAATTCTTTTTCTATTTAATTTTAGAAATTTTACGGTTTGATATGAATTTCTTAAAATGCGACCCCGTGGTTCAAAAGTTCTAGGTCCGCCCCTGCTCAAAATTAGCCTTCTTTCGAATAATGAATAAAATTTAATACTCTCTCCTGTCCTAAAAATATTTTCAATTTTTGACTTTTAATTTTTTGGTCACATAGTATCACACTCTGACTACAAATTGTGAGAAAAATATACTTAATTATAATATAAACTCAATATAATTGGATTCATCTTAGTATATAGTTTTGATATATCAAATTTTATATCATTTATTTATTTAGATTATGTTTAATTTGTGATCAAAGGGTGTCATTGTTTAACTAAAAAAATCAAAACATGAAAAGGTTTTTAGGACGCAAAGGAGTATATTAAAAAACTATTGTATTTGTTGATAAATTAGTATAAAAAATAAAAGGTACAAATTACACATTTCAAGTTAACCAACAAGTCTACAAAAAGAGAGGGTGTAACAAATATTTTATTTCATCAAATGATCATCAAAAATATTTAAACGAACAGAAGTTACCGAGATCAGACTAGTTACTGTGATGATGATTCTCAGACCTAAAGGTAGCATATGTTTATTTTATGTTTACGAAATCCGAATACTTAATAATGATAAACTCTACCAGTCCTAAAAAATTTTCATAGTCTGAATTTTATGTTAATTTTATCATAAATTATATTGTAAATTTTATAATTGGTCCTTTATAACAAGATGATTTCCATATTCAGTTCTTTATTATCAAATATTATCTCTGTAGTCCTTTTATGAGTGTTTTTCTACACATGGTCCTTTTTTGATCTTCTGTTATGTTGATGTTAATTTAAAAGCTAAAAGTATAATTTGACATGAACCTTATTTTCATTGACGCATTCTGATTTTTGGTAGACGGATAGAATAAAAATAATGATTTTGATTGTGGGTTAGGATTTCAGTGAAAGGCCACATTTGTAGGCTATGATGTTAGTAAAAAGTGATTGTAATTCACAAACGACGCATTGTGAAAGATCTTTGGAATTGTATATGACAAGAAGAATATATATTATCATTGTGAAATTGTACATTTAACCCTCAAATTAATACCAACACGATAGACAATTAAAAAGGACTATTTGTGGAAAGATGCTTATAAAAGAAGGATTACTGAGATAATATTATAAGAATAGAGTACTAAATAGGGAAATCATCATCTTATAAAGGATCATATATGGAATTTACTTTAAATTATAAGTAGAGTACATTCAATTATAATGTAAATTTATTATAACTGAATTTTTTAAAAAATATATTTTTGATATATTAAATTTTATATCTTTTATTTAATTAAAATGATATTTAATTTGTTATAAGAGGTTACATAAAAATCAAACTAAGACAACTTGTTGAGATACTAGTATAGGTTTAAACAACTTAAAATAAGCAATAAACATATACCCGGGAGTATTTAAGTTGATTTATGAAATGATCAAAATTAAAATTCTAAAAATAATTTAAATTAAGTAATAAAAATTAATGTTTGGAAAGCTTTTTTTTGGAAATTAATTTGAGACATTAAAATGGTTCAAACTTCAAAGTTGAAACAGAGCAATAAAGCATGTAAAACAAAAAAAAAGTTCAGTCGGTGGTGATCCAGTATCCATGGTAAAGTTTAAAAAAGAGGAAAGTGACCAAATTTATGTCTCTCCCAATATCTGAATGATTGTTCCATGCCTTTCATGATTTCATCACTTCAAGAAAACCATCACTAACCCTTTCCATTTTTTGAACTAAACAGTGTCATCATCATCATCATATCTCTACGTGTATGAGAAAAGGAGCAAGTAAAAATGGATGTGGGAAGAAGAAGAAGAAAACCTGTGGTGGAAGAGTCTGTTTGGGAGAGAAGGATTAGACTTGATGAAGTCAAAGGTGGAATCAAAGCCCTTATTAACACTTCCCAATCAGAAGAAGAAGAAGAATCTGAAAACCCAGAAAAAACTGATGACCAAGATCCCACTTTTGCTCCCCACATCAATGATGGTGTTTGCCAAGAAGATGGTAAAGTGGGTATGGGCCCAAAACCCAGTCCTGGTGGGATTGGGAGGAGGAAAACTTGGAAATCTGAATGCTTTGAGCTTAACCCAATTCAGATTGCAAGAAAAACAAGACCCCATTTGACCCAGAGTTTGGATGAGGAGAAATTCAAGGAATTGGGTCTCAAAAGTCCATCTGAGAATATGAAGCCAAGAAAAGCGAAGCCCTTCATGGATAACAGCAGAAACGAGAAGATTCTTGAATCAAGAAAGGATTTTTATGAGAATGGGAATCTTTTTGGGATTGTTCAAGATTTTGAGGGAAATGGGGATTATATTGATGGGTCGAGAGAGATATCTAAAGGCTGTTTGGAGCATAAGAGTGAGAATAAACCAACTGGGCTTCAGATAACAAGATCTGGGGAGAAGTGTGAAGAACAAGAACAAGAAGAAAAAGTCATCACTAGAAATATTGCCTTTGATATGGTCAAATCTACCCCTAAAGTGGAAGGGGGTGATTTAGATGAAGACCAGTGGGAAGAAGCCCAAGAAAGCACCGAAGTTAATGTTGTAAATATAAGTAATGTGTCAGCAGAGAAGAAGCTTGATAATGGAAAAGAAAGAAATTTTCCCAATTCATCAAGAACCAAACCAGGTTCCCAGCCACTTCTTATTTATATCATACTTCTAATTTAGTATATCCTGAACTTGGGATCTGAGTATTTATATATGTTGGTGCATTTCAGTTCCAGTTTCAGAGGAATCCTGTAGAACTCTTAGACCTCACAGCAGAATGGAGAGCTATGGTGAGTTGTGGCTTTCTTAAGCTTTTTGATCTGATATGATTCCTAACTGTTGCTATAATAATGTACAAACATTCATACTTTTAGGTCTGATATTTTTGAAATTGGTTCATAAATGTCTCAGTTGATCTAGTGATGTGGAGAGATGTCTCAAGATCAGCACTTGTTTTCGGTGTTGGATCATTTATGATAATTTCTTCTTCATATTTTCAAGATTCCAATATCAGGTTTGGGTTTTACACCAAGAATGTTTTATGGATAAAAGAGAGAAAAAGTAGTATTTTCAATCCATTTCATAAATATATCAAGGCTAAAGATCTAAACTTTTTACCTTATTGGGATTTCACAGCTTGATTTCTGTGCTTTCATACATGGGTCTCGTATATCTTGCGGTTCTTTTCATTTTCAGGTCCCTTATTCACAGGTAATTTGACAAAGCACCTGTCTTTACAAAGTTCTTTTTGAAAATCTTGCTCCATATTTAATTCCTTTGACTTGTTCTTTCTCTATATCTATTATCGAATATTCTAAAAGAAAAAAAATTAACCTAGGGAGGCCATACACGTAGGCGAAACACGGGGTTTTGTTGTTGAAGAGGATGAAGCAATGCGCGTAGTAAAAATGATACTCCCTTACATAAATGAGTTTCTCTTGAATATCAAATCGTTATTCTATGGAGACCCTGCAACAACAATGCAGGTAAAAAATATCTTTAAAATCACATTTTTAGAATTGTTGCCTCAATATAATTTCCTATACTCAGAAATTTTTAATTTACAATTCCAAACCTCTACTAGAACTCTAGAAGTTGATTAACTTAATGCAATCAATATGCAGATGGCTGTGATACTCTTTGTTTTGGCACATTGTGGCAGTTCCATAACCATATGGAAGATGGCTAAATTAGGTGAATTTATTACTTCTTCGTCTTTCCTTTATAATCATCGGTGTATCACATATGTCATAATGGTTTGGGCCATTGGGGAGGGTGCGAGTACGCAGACGCAGACCTAGACCTGTCAAAATTTGACCCGACCCGAAATTAGCGGGTTTTGAACATTGATTTTGCGACCCGAACCCGAAATGACCCAAACCCGAAGACCCGTTAAATTTTCAGGTCAGAACGGGTTGGGTCGGGTTTGACCCGACGGGTTATGCACTTAATTGCTTATTTTTATTAGTTATTTAGTTTTATATATTCATTTAAAATATGATATACCCATTAGGCTACTCAAAACTCAAAAGACGTAAAACCTAATCTAAATCCAGTAACATTCCAGTGTCTCTCCCTTCTCTCTCTCTCTTTATATATATATATATATATATATATATATATATATATATATATATATAATGCAATTTTTTTGGTATGATGCAAAAAGGTGATTTTTTTTGGTATATTGCAATTCTCTTTTGGTGTGTTTCAAATAGAGTTGCAAACTGGTATGATTTCGTTCTTTGTTTTGAATAATGCTCGGATCACATGATCTTTAAATAGCAAAAATTTTAATTTTTAAATACACCTCATAACCCGTTGGGTCAACCCAAACCCGATAACTCTGGGTCATGAACAAGCACTCTTAGACCCGAACCCGAAGTGACCCGAACCCGAAATAACCCGAACCCGACTTTACCGAACCCGAACTCCGAAAGTAGACAGTGAATGATGAAACAAATGGATCATGTTTTTTGTAGGCTTTTTCGGAGTCTTCATTTTCCCAAAACTCTGCTCTTCATACTCCTCTCAGTTAAGTGCATTCGGTAAAGTTCTATACTCCTTTTTTCAACTCCATCTAATTGTTGTCTGCATTTTTTTTGCCTTCTTTCGCCACATGAATTTGATATTCCAATTCAGAAATTAAAGCACAAATATGAAGATACGGATGCTTTTTTTCGTAACATGTTTGAATAATATTGACATGAACCATGATTTGTATTATAGGTACGTCGTGGATAAGACGCTCTAATGCCTTTTTGGAGTCATTTGCTCATAAGAAAGCCATTGCGATCGGCACTTTTGCGCTGGTATGGATTCTTTCTTCTGCCATTGCTCGAATCTGGGAAGGTAAAACCATCAAATTCGACTACAAATTCCCAAAATTAATCAGCCCATATAGCAAATGTAGTCGCTTATTCCCAAAAATGTACAGATTTTCATTTCGTGTTGTTTTTTCTTTTTGGAATGCAGTGTTCATGGTGTATGTGGCATTTAGATACTATAGATTATTGGTGATGAGAGGGCCCCACTCGATAATGGATGAAACCGACACCGGGCCGAAAGACGAAGATTCTATCGGCTTGAATGGTAGAAGGATAACCAACTTACCAAACGGACACACGAAGGCAAAATAAAAGCATTGTAAGTCTATAAACTTGACGCGATTGATTGGCTTTTCTTAAGGTTTAAACACACTTTTGGATCAAACCACATTAAAAAGTGGATTTAATATATTACATAGTTCAAATACTTTTAACAATAGTGATCATATCTAACGCGACGGTTGACCGTTTTGTTTTGACTAATTGTTCTCGTGATTTTGCATGATAGGCTCGGGAGTTTGTATGGATACAATTAGACAAGACGGGCCAGAACTAGGTATGGCCCACGGGCCTCGCCGGGAAACTTGTTGGACCATCGTATCTTGGAAGGGCAAACCCGAGATAAAGAAATGTTGTCCTATGTAAAAAATTTGAGATGTGGGTACATAAGTACATTGCTTCCTTTTGGTTCATAATTTTTGTCAGTAGGACTTTGCCCAAAGTCTAACCCATTTATTAATCGGGTTTTTCCTCTTGTCCCAAATATGAACTTCTTGATACATTTGACCGACTAATGACTAAGGAAGGTGTATTCAATTGAGATTTTGTAGGATTTTTTTGGATTTTAAAAGTCTGTGTGTATTCAATTGAAATTTTAAAAAATCATTAAAAATCTGTAGGTATTCAACGAAGATTTTATAAAATCTTTCTAAATCTAATGATATTGAAAAAATGATAAATTTTGAAGGAGTGTTATATAACATGGATTGTGAAGGATTTTAGACCTGAAGTATAAATAAAAATTTTGTTTTCAAATCCAACCAAAAGCCTATGGATTTTGTTGGACTCCAAATCTGCCGGATCTTTCTCTCTTCTTCCCGCACGGTTCTTCATCTTCTCCGATCATCCCCACCCTCGATCTCCCCTGCAGACCTAGAGTCCCAAAATTAGATAAGCAATCCCAGAGAAATCCCCAGCGACGGGTCAACAGATGGAGCAAGGACTCGAATTGGATCGGATTCGTGGCCGTGAGCGACGAGGAGGAGACGCGGCGGATCGGGCAGAGGGACATCGCGGTGGCGTGGCGGGGGACGGTGACGCCGACGGAGTGGTACGAGAACACGCAGAACAAATTGCAGCCGATTGGGCACGGAGATGCCCGAGTGGAGCGGGGATTCCTCAGCATCTACACCTCGAAGTGCCCGTCGTCGCCGTACAACAGATCCAGAGTCGGCAACATACCCTTCCGGGACGACCTCTACCAGGTACTGTATACCATCCGAATACCAGGTGTTGTCCCATGGCTGGAGGATGTTGGTGACCAGGAAGTTCCACAAGTCTGTAGTGTTTCTTAGTGGTATTTGAGAGGTTTTCATTCATTATGTATTTGTGTATTCCTTGAAGAATTGCAGTTATTTGAAGTACTTATTTGCAGAATTGCAGTGCTTATTGAATTATTTGATTTTGCCGTCCTTGTTTAAAAATTTTTGCAGTACTTGAATTCTGTAGTGCTTATTTTATTTGTACTTGATTCAATATGGATGAACATTAAAGTTGAACAAACATGAAATCCATCTAAATCAAAAAACAAATCTACTCAAGTATATAAAATTCCATGTAAATCAATAAAAGAGTCTTCCAAACTTTGCATGGAGTCAATGGATTTTCTAAATCCACTGACTTCTTAAAGTCCAAAAAAATCTTACAGACTTCTAATTGAATACACCCCCCTAAATTTCACATCAAACCGGAGTAATTATTTGGATATCGGATTTGTATCCAACCATGGGCGGACCCAGGGGGTCCGATGCTGCACCTGACACCACTGAATTTTTTTTAGACCACTATTAGGTATAATGTAATTTTTTTTAAAAAAAACTTTTATATTACATTTTAATTATATTATTTTGAATTATCTGAATGTTTGAGCAAAAAACTACTTCCTCTGTCCCAAAAAGATGTTCTCGTTTTGACTTTTACGAAAAATAAGGAAGAGATATTCTTGTGTTAATTTTTCAAATATATCCTTGATGTGATGAGAAAAAGTAGAAAGTGATGTGTAGAATATTAGTAAAAAGATATGATATGATAGGTAGGTTAAAAATTAGTAGAGGTAAAAGTATATTTTTATAGAAATGGGAAGGACGCTACTTCCGATTCTCTAATGTGGCCATGCAGCCTGCTCTTGATGTTTTGGCTCTGCCGCCATCGACACCGTTCCTTTGAGAGTCCGGGTCTTCCGCTATATCCTCCATTCCACTCTAGCAACAACTCAAGTTAAAAGTCATTATTGTAAAATAGACAAAGCAAACATCCTCACACCATGTTAACTTTTTGGGAAGAAATTATTTACTCTCTCCGTACCAAATTATTTGTCACATTTCTATTACCGAGACAAAATCAAGTTTTTTCAATTTATTTTATTTACATATTAGTAAAGAAATAAAAAATAAAAATTACATATCAAAAAACTACATGAAAAGTTGTTCGAAATAAGAGGTGTCAAAAATATTTTATTTTATCAAATAACCAATGAAAACGTAGAAATAAAAAAAAAAATTCCCGCGACTGTTGAAAAAACAAATGTGACAAATAATTTGGGACGGAAGGAATACAATATTTTAACACCATCATCAGTGATCATCACCATGCACTTTACAAGTTCAATCCATTAAAGCCCAAAGTAGTGTTATACGAAGCATGATGAAAATACCTGAAAAAGGTACAAAAGTAACAAATTACAACTAAGAGAAAATTTCAAATTTTCATAAGTTCATTGTACTGTTGTTTCCTTTGTTAGTGGTATTTTTGATCAATTAAACAAGTTTAGTGACAATTTTGACAAAGTAAAATAGTAGAGTGGTATTTTTTTAACTACCCTCCATGATAAACACTTTGTTGCGATCCCTTTTTCAATACTTAAGTTTTTTTGCACCATTTTCCTCTGAAATTTTTAAAAAAAGTGCGAATTTTCCATTAACTTTAAAAATTGCATCAATATCTCCTGAACTTTTTAAAAAATTGCACTAATGGTCGTTCTATGCCATATCTGGGAGTGCGTTATATGGACTCATCTAAAATCATATATCACACGTAAGGTATAAAATATGTCCTTTCCAAACATTATCTTCTACTCCCTCTCTTCTCAAAAACACTTCCTCTTTCATTTTTTTCACTTCCAACAAAACACTTCCACTTTCTATTAAAAAACCACTTTTACCCTTACTTTTTCATACCCTACATATCACATCATACTTTATCTCTAATAATCTATCCATCACATCTTACTTTTACATATCACATCAAGGGCAAAATTGCAAGTCAATTACAATTTAATACTTCTTTATTTCTACACAAAGTCAAAAAAGGAACATTTTTTTCCAAACGGAGGGAGTATATTTTTAACATCTTCATCAATCCATATATGATAATTATTCTCGATTATTTAGTCCTCGGTAATCGAATTCGAAAGTCGGACATCAATCGATAAAGTTTGTCATCTGTCAATCAACCTCTTCATCAATTCATGACATAATCATCAAACTCCAACACGTGTATTAATGAGTGCTTAATTAATGCACTCTGAAATGTGGCATATAAGGACTATTGGTTCAACATTTTTAAAAATTCATTGGACATTGGTGTAATTTTTAATTTTCATGATGAACCTGCACAATTTTCGAAAAGTCCAGATGTAAATGACGTAAAAAAAAAATTCCTTTTTCAATTGTATTTCCCAGCACGATGAATTTCATTCTTAAAGTCTCTTCAAACCAGTTATAGAAAAATAAAGAGTGAAATTTGTCTGTAATATAAACATAAAATTCAAGAACAAGTTTAATTATTTTCTTGGGGTGCCGCCGCCGCCGGTGGCCGGAGCATGCATAGAACACAATGATCATTCAATTCATTCACGCTGATGATCATATCATGCATTTATATTTGCGTGTGGATCTATCATACTTTTGATAGTGTTTGATTATTATTCCTTTTATGAGTTTTCTTTTTTTCTTTATTCTTTTTTTTTTTGGGTAGTTTTTTAGTCAAATATATATAATGACTTTTTTCGTTTCAAAAAGTCAAAATGATGCATGTGACTAGTAAAAAGGCTATTTGATGTTTTCTTGTGAATTTGCCTTTTGAACTAGCAAAATGGCTGGTAGTATTATTATCATTTTGAAAAATAAAATTTAGACACATATTTTAGCTTCAATTTTTAGCATTTGTCAAAGTACTGATAAAAAACCAATATAATCCTCACCAATCACTAACTAATTTACCACTTACATCAAATTTCTTATTATAAACCGTTTAACTGGTAACTGACTACAATTTGTCGAATGTTTTTTTTATTCTGGATCAGGTATGGCAAGGGGTATTAAATTGCCATTCATTACATATTTAGGATACTTTAGTATAAATTATTATTTCCGTCTCTACGTATTTGTCTAATTTTAGATTTTTACAATAAAAATTGACAAACTTTGATCACTACTTAGATAAAATTGATACTAGTATTTTCAAAATATTATTTTGTTTAATTAATATAACATATACTTTTTATTTATTTACAGGTCAAAAATTGAAAGTGATCGAGTGTAAAAAAATCAAAACTCAAAAATACATATATAATAAAAGTAGTATTGTAAAAAAGGATGAGCTTCATCCCCGATGGTCTCTTCAGACCCGATCGAACGGTCACCGTGAGGAGATAAATTGAATTTTAATCGCAGATTGGTGATAAAGAGTGAACCTTAAAATTTATTGTTTGAAGTCTCTCAACAAAAAAATATGGCCACAAGACACAGAATCACAGTAGCTAGACATAACAGAGTTTCAAAATATAAAAAATTAATTAAATAAGTTTCAAATTAAAGCTTTGAAACAATAATAATGAGATAACAAAGAAACTCGAAAGTAGAGCATTTACTTCATCCTTTGTTGGTTGTCACTTGTCACCCACTTATTAATCATGCAAATATTAATATATACTCCCCTCGCTTTCGAGTGGTAGCAAGCTCACTCCTCAGGATTCATGAGGAAGTTCACCTAGGTTCGAGCCCCAGCGAAAGTAGCAGCATTAGCTCTTTGTGCGTCATTAGCTTGAGAATAGTATGAACAGATACTACCTTGTAATAGAGTCAATATCATTCAAAAAAAATATATACTCCCATCCGTAGTGATAGTGTAAATTACTTGACCGGTCAAACTATACTAGACCGGGTCTAGAATAGTTCGCTTGATTTGGCAAAGTAAGAAAGGTAAAAACACGCAAATTGACCGGTAGGACTTTAGGTGGAACACCTGTAGCCCAATTTATATTATAACGGAGAATGCACGGGTGCTTTTACAAGGGAGTTTAGAGAGAATGAATTCGGATCCCTCTTTCTGAGGTTTACATGAGTATTTATACTAGGCTAAGGGGACAGGACCACGTGCGCCCACGTGGGGGCATGCTGCTGATGTGGTGCGAGGTGACTGGTTTTGTCCTCAAGCTGCCTTGTCGCCTTGTGAAGGGGATCATTCTCTTTGTCAAGTAGTGCCTTGGATGGATTCTCCAGCATCTCCAGTTGTCCTCTACTGACACGGGTCGCTACACGCCAAGCCCTCGCAGATCCTCCTCTGCCGACACTTTCCACCCCCAGAAACTACACCGGGTAATCTCCGAGGGATGAATTTATCGAAATTTGGAATAAATAGGATGAT